CCCTGATGAGGAAGGATCTGAGGTCGAGGAGGAACCACATCAGGACCATGAGGTTGAGGGGCCCGACGAAGAAGCAGAAATCTCGATGCACGCAATGGCCGGGATTAGAGGACCCCGAACGATGCGATTGCCGGCCTGGGTCAAGGATCGGAAGGTGATGGTGCTCGTGGACAATGGGTCATCACACAACTTCATCAATGTCGACTTGTCCCATAAGCTGAACTTACCAACCACGAAGATTGAGCCTTTTGAGGTACGAGTAGCCAATGGTGAGAGGCTGCAATACACTAAATCTTTCCGGAAGGTGCCAATCATGTTCAGCGGAGTTACAGTGAAGGCTGATGATCTCTATGCCTTACCTTTGGTTGGGCCGGACGTCGTCCTAGGAGTACAGTGGCTCGAAGGGTTGGGCAAGGTGACCACCGACTATCGAATAAGAATTATGGAGTTCAACTCCGGAGGTCAGCAAGTCACTCTGAGTACTGGCAATAAAAAAGGTACCAAGGAAGTAGGACTTAAGAGCATTGAGAAAGTTTGGCGGGGTGGAGGCCAAAAATTTTTAATGTAGTAGTAGAGAAAATTGAGGCGCACATAGACCGAGAGGAACAACAGCGGGGAGATGTGCGCGAGCTTCTCAAGGAATTTGAGGAAGTACTGGGCGAGCCTAAGGGACTACCCCTACACCGGGAGTTCGATCATCGCATCCCACTGATCAATGAGCAGCACGCCATACACGTTCATCCTTATAGGTACGCTCACTTTCAGAAAACCAAGATCGAACGGCAAGTGGCCGAGATGCTTGAGTCAGGACTAATCCAGCATAGCAAGAGTCCGTTTTCTTCTCCATTCTTGTTAGCCAAAAAGAAAGACGACATGTGGAGGTTCTGTACTGACTACCGAGCTTTGAATGCTGCAACTATCAAGGACTGATTTTCTATCCCTAGCGTCGACGACATGCTCGATGAGTTAGCTGGGTCACGCTATTTCTCAAAACTCGACCTGAGAGCTGGTTACCATCAGATGCGACTCCACAAGGCCGACATTCCAAAGACAGCGTTTCGTACGCACCAAGGGCACTATGAGTATCTGGCCATGCCATTCGGATTGTGCAACGCCCCATCCACTTTCCAGTTCGCTATGAATTCCATCTTCAAGGAGTATCTACGTAAGTTCGTTCTGGTATTCTTTGATGATATCCTGATCTATTCGATGTCGTGGGGCGAACATCTTGGGCATTTGGGAGTAGTGCTCGAAATTTTGGAGGCCAACTCATTCCACATCAAGCCATCCAAATGTTCATTCGGGCAGAAGATGGTTGAGTATTTGGGGCACTTCATATCCCACGAGGGCGTGAAGGTTGATCCACGAAAGATTGAGGCTATGATCGATTGGCCAAAACCGACAAGTCTCACACAACTGAGGGGATTTCTAGGACTCACGGGCTACTACAGAAAGTTCGTGAAGGATTATGGAACCATCGCCAAACCACTAACAGAGATGACTAAGAAAGGCGGGTTCAAATGGACCGAAGCTAGCGAGGAGGCGTTTGGGAAACTGAAAGAAGCCATGACTACAACGCTAGTGCTCGCCATGCCAAGGTTCGATGTCTTGTTCGAGGTACACACCGATGTGAGTGACATTGGGATTGGAGCTGTGTTAGTGCAAGAGCGACGACCCTTAGCTTATCTCAGCAAGGCACTAGGCCCTACACGATTGGGTCTATCGGTGTACGTGAAGAAGATGCTAGCAGTTGTCGAGGTTGTAAGATGCTGGAGGCCTTATCTATTGGGCCGACGTTTTCAGATTGTGACCGACCAGCAACCGCTTAAGCATCTACTGGAGCAAAGGATTGTTACCCCCGAGCAGCAGAAGTTCGTATCTAAACTTATGGGGTTTGACTTCGAGATAATCTATCGACTGGGTCGACAGAATGCAGTGGCTAACGCATTATCCCGACGAACAGATGTAGCCGAGCTGAATGTTATCACTGGGCCAGCTTGGACTATTTGGGAGGAAATCAGGAAGGCGCAAGTAGAGGACACCTATTGCCAGGAGATGCGCCAATCGATAGAAGCAGGAAAGACAACTGCTATCGACTATGAGTTGCATAATGGTCTGCTTCTACACCGGGGCCGAGTATTCGTTCCCGACAGTGGGCAGTTACGTAAGCAGATCATGCAGCACTTCCACGACTCTAAAATTTGAGGCCACTCGGGTATCTATCGCACGTGGATGAGAATAGCCAACACTTTCTTCTGGCCCGGACAATAGAATACCGTCCGAGATTACATAGCACGGTGCGACGATTGCCAACGCACTAAGTCTGACTCACGATGACCGAGCGGGCTGTTACAACCTCTACCGGTACCCGGGGCAATCTGGGAAGACATTACTATGGATTTCATAGAGGGGTTACCGAATTCTAATGGATTTGACGGTGTTATGGTCGTAGTGGATCGTCTCACAAAGTATGCTCACTTCATACCCATTACCCATCCTTACACTGCAAAGTCGATTGCCAGGTTATTTGTGGAGTATGTGATGAAACTACTTGGAGCACCGCGATCCATCGTCTCTAATCGAGACCGGATTTTTATGAGCAGCTTTTGGTCCTAGTTCTTCAAGTTGCAAGGGACTAAGTTATCTATGAGCTCAGCCTACCACCCACAGACAGACGGACAAACTGAGGTAACTAATCGAACCCTTGAGCAGTATTTGAGATGCTACGTCAATCAATTCCCGAAGCGGTGGGAAAACTTTTTGCCTTGGGCTGAGTATTGGTACAACACCACTTACCACGAGTCGAACAAGATGACGCCATTTGAGCTGGTATACGGGCGAAAACTCCCAACACTGATCAATTATTCGGAGGGCAGTACAGTCAACGACGAGGTTGGTCGAGAACTAGAGGAACGAGATCTGATGTTGCGAGAATTGAAGAAAAATCTCGAAGGCTCAATCAATCGAACCAAAGCCTTCGCAGATGGGAAAAGGCGTGAGGAAATTTTGCACCAGGCGAGTATGTCTACCTGAAGCTATGACCATTCAGACAGCGCACCACAGCACAAAGGGCCGCAACTAAACTGCGCGTTCGTTATTACGGGCCTTATCAGATTCTAAAGCGCATTGGTCAAGTAGCTTATCGTCTAGAGTTGCCAGAAAGTTCTCAGATCCACCCAGTTATCCATGTCTCGCAACTCAAGAGGAGCTTAGGAGAAGCACAGAAGTATTGTGAGGAGCTACCAGCAACCGCAGCCGATGGCAGGGCTATAGTACGCCCAAAACGAGCGATTGAGTACCGTAAGGTAAAGAAAGCAGGACGCTACCGTTGGGAAGTAC